AAACAGCTCACTCTGGTCTTTATTCAATGTGATTTGTGGTGCAAGCAGTTCTGCCTGGCAACAAGATGCACTAATGCACTGATTGGTAGATAATTACAAAATGCGGGTCTTTCTGCATTTTGTCTGTTAAAAAATAAATAAAAATCTCTCAAGATCTCAGCATCTTACCAATTTGACTTCATTTCATACAAAAATCCTTGTTGAGACTTAACAGACTTACAGACTTATTCACCAATCTCATTAAGAGGCTATAACCTTCATTAGCTACAGTGTAAGTACATTAAATGAAGAAGTTAAGTGAACTTAATTATTTAAGTAAAATATATGAAATACAAATCAAGTATTAAAAATTCAAGCTTAAAAATTTAAATAGAGTTTACAAGAGAACTCAGCTGAGTGAACTTAAACATACACGTTTTAGAACACCCATTGCTCAATTCATTTGAGGGAACGAGTTTATTCAATCAATTGAGTTAAGTCAACTTATTAGGGTTTTCAGTGCAGTGAATGCTGGTTAATGGTAATGCGATCAAAGCACAATCATAATCTCATATTCTGAAGTTCTGCTAAAAGCAGATTAATGAAATAACATGAAAAAAAACCCAGACCCACATAAAAGTGAGAAGTCATACAAATCAGTACAGAGAATATTTATCTGAGTTGCAAACAAAGTGTGTGGATGTTGGGTGGCTTTTTGCCATATCTGACTGATATTTCAAATCAGTCAGACTGATTTGAAATAAATGATTTCATTCAAGGCAGCAGCTAATGGAGGATAACATTTTCTACATAGAATTACAGCAGAGGTAAAATTAACTTTAGATATTTGTGTCACTTTAAAAAAGAAAAAGATAAAAAAAAAATTTTTTAAAAAACGTGAAACATGTTATGCTTAATGTACTGCAGCAATAATTTATCCCTCATATTTAACTTCAGAGAGAAGATCTTGGAGAAAGTACAGACTTCTTGAAATCAGTGTCCTATTCTCTCAAGCTATTTATATCATCACTTAAGTGGACTTGTAGAAGAGAACACTGTGTGACAGCTGACTTATAAGTATTTTTCTGATGGGCAGTTACATTATTATTCAGATTAATATGAACCTCAAAGTTTAAAGTAATACATTACCGTTCTAAACTTTGGGATCAGTAAGATTTTGAATGCTTTTTTAAAGAAGTTTCTTATGCTCACAAAAGCTGCATTTATTTTCTGCAAATATTATTAAAATGTAAAATAACTGTTTTCTATTTTAATACTTTAAAATGTAATTTATTCCTGTGATGCAAAGCTGAATTTTCATCAGCTATTACCCCAACCATTTCTCCAGTCTTCAGTGTCATATAATCCTTCAGAAATCTTTCTAATATGCTTATTTATTATCATCCTTTGTGCTGCTTAATATTTTCTAGAACCTGTGATACTTTTGCCAGGATTCTTTGAAGAATACAAAGTTAAAAAGAACAGCGTTTGTTCAAAATAGAAATCTTTTCTAACAATATAAGCCTTTACTATCACTTTTGATCATTTTAACACATCCTTGCTGAATAAAAATATTAATTTCTTTCAAAAAAGAAAGAAAAAAAAATACTGAGCCCAAATTTCTACACATTTCTATTTTGAATAAATGCTGTTCTTTTTAACTTCCTGAGAATTCTGGAGAATCTTGAAAAAAAAAAATGCATCATTGATAATAAATCAGCATATTACAATGATTTCTGAAGGATCATGTGACACTGAAGACTAGAGTAATGATGCTGAAAATTCAGCTTTGCATCGCTGGAATAAATTAGATTTTAAAATATATTAAAAAAGAAAACCGTTATTTTAAATTGCAATAATATTTCACAGTACTACTGTTTTTTTTTTCTCTGTACTTTTGATTAAATAAATACAGCCTTGATGAGTATAAGAAATTTTGGTTACACTTAAAGCCTTTATGTATCATGCATTATAAATTTAGTTTTAATGTATTAATTATGTCTTGTAATTATGCACCTTATAATGCATTGTACAATCACATGAATAATTGTGACCACAGTTAATACATTATAACATTAATCAATTCATTGTTACCCTATGCATTTTAAATCCAGTTATAATTATTTATGACAAGATATAATGTATTGTTACGCACATTATGAATAATTATAATGCATTATACCCTTTGTTACAGAAACTTCTTTAAAAAAAAATTTAATCTTACTGATCCCAAACTTTTAAACGGCAGTGTATATTCAATAAAATCAATAGCAAATGAGGCCTTCATGCAAATTTACAACATTATAGTGAATGTGAATACAGAGAAAGAGACAGAGACAGAAAGAGAACAGCTGGTGATTTTATGTGAGTCACGTAAGGTGCACTATAAAATGAGAAGAGCTTCCATCTGGCCTGTATGTGCTCTCAACAAGGTGTTTATGCCCAATGATACTTCATTTAGATCCTGCTTATTAACATCTCAACCTCATCCCATGCTGTAAATGCACCTGAAGTTTCACACTGATCAACCAATGCCTTATGGGTAACCAAACCTCTCTGAAAGCATCTCTAGCATGATGGATGTGAGAAAGCGGAGGAAAACCAACAGTCCAGTAGTAATGAGCAGGTGAAGGAACCTATAGGCTGTTTTAATGACCTATTACAGGTCCGTGTCAAATACATTCCCAACATTTCTCTGTGCATTTGTGAGTTTTCAGTTCTGGTTTAGACTGAAACATGCAATTTTATCCATATTTTGGTAGGGAAATGCTTACAGTCATCCTATCAGCGTACTGAAGTGTTTCCATCAAAACCCAATTTCTCCCTGAAATGACATTCCCTAAATGGTCTCTCTGCTTGGCTGATGCCCCATAACCAAGGTGGCTTGGATCAGAGAGGTATGAAATACTGGGACAGACGGATGGGAAGGTCATTATGGGAATGTGAATGAGAATGTGAATGTATGAGTTGTAAGCACAAATATGTATTAAACAAGGATGCTATATTTAATTTATCCTATTCAAATGAGACATGTAAAAATAAAACAAAGTAAAAATTAGACAACTAAAATAGTAAACATTTGGTGTAAAAAGTTTAGCAAAAGATTAGCTTTAGACTGCCTTATACTGCCCTTTGTTTACACTACTGTATGTCCAGTCTAAACCAAACATCAGGTCTGTCATCACCGACAACCCTCAATAATCTTCACACTAACTCATGATAAAATTGCACACAGTCAGTGAAGGCCACTAAACAGGCCACTTACAGGCCACTAAAGCTGGACCAGAATAGCATTATGCTAATGGCTAACACCATTACGCTCAAACAAAAGCAGCTCTAGAGGGAGAACTGTTTGTCCTTGTATTAATTCATCAGGTTGTTTTATTCTTTAACAAACCTGAAAGTGGATTTTATTAAGTGATATGTAGACATTGAGCAGTTAACAAACAGAAAAATGTGTTGTATGTAGCATCATAATGCTATATGCTACAATAATTAAATTGACAGTCATCAATACACTTAACATATACTGATATCCAGATACTAGTGAAGAGAAACTGCAGGACGGTAACTGTGGGACACTGGATCATATTTCTGAAAGAAAAAGCTTTTTTAGGGGAAGAAGGTGGAATTCCTGTTCTCATCGTGAATCTGTACTCCAGAAATTCCCATAAAAGATTAATAATGTTCAGATATGGTGACTGAAGAAGCCATGGAAGGTGTCTGGCTTCATCCTGGTGTTCACAAACACTCAATACAGGAATATCATAAGATGATGGTTTGGACGCACCTGGTCTGGTAAAATAACCTCATAATTCTTGGCCGTTAAACAGCCATTCAGAAAATCACTGAACCTATTGACTACTGTGAGACGGCTGAGCATTGTGGATTGAAGCTAAGCCTTGTCTTTCACCAAACATGAACCCATCTGGATGTAGAAAATGAATGTGGATGACTCATTTTACATTGCACTTTATTTATTGGGGTTTATATTTTGTACTCTAGTTTATGAGTAGAGTTTCTGTGCTGGCCTGAATTCAAGTGTTTTTTTTTTTCAATGGTAGCTTTAGCTCAAATTCCAGCTCTGTGAAGCTCTGCAGTAAATTAGCAGTTTTAGTTCAGACTATCACAGAGGTTTGACAATATTAATGTAGTTTGTCTTTTCCAACTGAATAAGTCTTGCGAATTCTATGACTAGCCATGGTAAGAGTGCATCATAAATTTATCTGTGGCTCTCTTATTTCAAAGCTATCCTTTAATAATTGTTCAAACATCTGGAGACGACTACTTATAGACTAAATTTCATTACAACACAACAAAATATGATGGCATAAGTACTGGTTGCTCTGGCAATGAAGCAGGACTGAAATAGAGGAATGTGATAACACAGCTCAACACAAGTAGATATGATTCTGTCTGCACATACAGTCCAACTGACATCTACAAAAGCTTCTTCTATAAATCACCTGTTGAGAATAGTGATTGCAAACTGTGGGATCTCTTATGGAAGACTTCAGCAGGAACAAACAATATTAGCTTTTTTATAGTGATGATACTGGTCATGCTGAGTGACACTGACCAGGCAGCAGTGACTGGCATACTGTGATATAATTATATGCTGACAGTTGTCTGACCCAACACTGGAAAAAAATCACTGGACACAGCAGCTCAACTCAGAAGGATGAAAAAGAGAGTTTATACCTGGTCAGAAACAACTGAAATTGCATCCTGGTCTTTTATTGAAACAGTTGATTGTTGTTTTCTGCTTAGTTGAATCTTGGCACAAGAAGAAATGCTCAAGATCTTGTGTGCGTGTGAAAATCATTGAAGAATTGCTCTTGTTTTAAGGGATCCGCACATCTGAATAGCATGAAAACCAACAAAACTCTCTCTACATAGTGTGTGAGTATGTGTATGAGACAAATATTTTGTCTCACATCACATCAAGTTCAAAGTGAAGGATGATTCATTGAATGAAATGAACTGGTTACTACAGTGCTCACTTCTGAGCAACAACTCACCATGTTCCACTTTGGAAAGAGGAAATCAGCCCCGATGTACTCGAAGTAATGCGCAAATCCTTCCTTCAGCCAAACGTCCTCCCACCAAACCGGTGTGACTAGATCCCCAAACCACTAGAAAAGAAGAAATGAACAATCAATCATCAACAGAAAAAACAGTGACCATTACAAAAGATTGATTTCATGTTCACTGGCGAAGAATTACAACAAACTTCTGTTGTTTTGTACAAGAAAATTGTTTATGGGTAAACTGAAACCAAACTTTATTTGGACAAAGCATTCTATTTGAAGAAAAGAAATATATAGCAATCCACCCTCCTATTTATCCAATATCCACAAAAGCGTATTACATCTATTGGCAAACGCATTTTATTACAAAAATCCAATACTGCAGAAAAAATAACCTGTGCTCTTTAGAAGTAGAAGTACACATAAACACTTTTAATAAACAGTTGCACTCTGGTTCAACAGAAAAGTAGTTCACAAAAGGCTTCACAGAACATTGAGAACCCGGCAGAGCTTCTGAACTATGATTAACAGTGGCCTAAACATTCAATTACCTACAGTTACACAATTAAAACACATTTTTCAGTTTCACAGCATTCATACCTAGGAGTTTCGCCAAGGACACAGTAAATGAACAGAATAGAGAAAAATAAGGATTCGATTATGAAACATCCCATCTGGAATGTAGAAAGACTCCAAATGACCCCTACCATTGTGTGCAGATGACAGTGTGCAAAACAGGGCTATTGACTGGAAAAAGATGCAACACTGCAGTTCTAAATGGGCTGAATATTTTCCAGACTCTGAGGCCGTCAAGCAGATGTGCTACTGAACGCCGGATCTCATTGTTGCAGCACACAAACCTCTGTAGGAGTCGGGCCTCTTTCATCTGAACATGACATCATAAGAACAGCTCTCGAAGCACCTGACGGGACGATCATCAGACACACGGACTGATAGTGTGGAGAGAGACAGCTGGTATTCTGCTCTCAGAGGAGCCTTCTGCTAGGCGCACATCAAGTGGCTTCCCATGGGTTTAGTGACTTTTTCTGCCCTCTTCTGATTTGTCAGATGTTCTGACGCTAATGACAGTGAACCAGGATAGTGAGTCACATCACATCACTTATTGTGTTTAAAAAGACAAGCTGCAGAGCAAATGGATTGGTGCAGTGACATCTTGAGGAATGGCACAGACAGTTCAACAACACTAGAACGTGTATGATTGGTACAAACTATGAGACTCAACCTCGCACAATTATGTCTTCAACATCGTGTCAGTGAGACGAAGTTAAACAGAGGGATTCTGCAGATTCGTGCAGGGAAGAGTTCATGCTGTACCTCTATACTGCAGCATATTCAGGACACTTGAAAAAGGAGAAAGCCTTCAACGGCATCATTAAAAAAAACAACTTTCAGTTATATAAGTCTCCGAAGGAGCTGAGAATCATACTGGCATGGAGTCTTCAACCAAACTCACAATTTTGTACAGTAATAGTATTATATGCTTGAATGTGTGTGTGTAAATGTCCTTCGCTGATATTTAATATGTAGTTTCAGTTAAGGTCTGTCTGGTTTGTGACTACAGGGCAAAGGTCATTGCCTTCTCAACTGGAAAACCACTGGAAAAAAGTCCTGAGGCTGTATTTCAGTACAAGCTCAAATGTTATACATAGACTCAAACCTGCATCTCCCACGCAAGCACCATGGTCTAAATCCCTTACAAAAACAACTAAAATTGTAAACTGCTCCAATCACAATAAGGAAACGTAAAACCCTCTGTTTTGATTGACAAAGTTTATTTATTTGTCAGTATTCAGTCAGAGTGTGAAATCCTTAATTTCATGTGTTTACAGATGTCGTCTTCTATAAATGAGGAGAGAATAAAACACCAGCCAACAGAAGTGAGTCATTTAGTCAAGACTCATTTCCACTGACGGACCATTTATCCTCATATTTAATGTGCAACTCATATTTAATGTCTAACTATGCTTTTAAGTAGGGTGACCATACGTGCCGTTTTTCCCTGGTACATCCTGGCCAGGATTTCTATATTGCCTAAAATATAGACTCCAAAGTTTCGGAATACGTGGGTGAAATAAGTTTTCTGCCGTGTCGAGAGCGGTGGGAAGTCCTTTGAGGGGGATGAGTTTACAGGCTTTAGAAAACCGATCTACTACGACCAAGATGCAGGTATACCCCTCTGAGTTGGGCAAGTCTGTTACAAAATCGACTCCCAGGTGAGACCAGGGTCGATGTGGGATCGGCAGGGGCACTAGCTTGCCTACGGGGAGGTGTATTTTGATGTCATATACCGATCCATCTGCGCAGCGCGAACAAATCCAAAACCTGGATATTTTTGGCAATATAGAAATCCTGGCCAGGACGTGTCCGGGAAAAATGGCACATATGGTCAGCCTATTTTAAAGCAACCCTTTTGAGATGTATGTGACGTATAAGAATTGAAGCCTCACTTTCCCATTGTATTCATACCCAGAGGGCAGAATGTCACCTCTCCCATCTGTGGAAAATAAGAAAACTCAACATCAGCTGCATCGACAGGGCTGTGTGCAGCATCGTTTAATCTGAGAGGCTGAAATGAGTTGAGAAATTAACCCTGGTTGAGTGACTGTGACATATAAACCTCATCGCTGGTGGGGGCAAATCTACTAACAATCCGCTGCTACAGTATCTGACATTAAAATGAGCCAGTATAGAGAGAGAGATAGTAGGTCCTGAGCCCCAGAAAGCCAAGGGATAAACTTATACAATAGCAAACAGAGTCTGCCGTCCACTAATCAATTCTCTGCAGTTAGTCGGCGCGCGTGCGAGATACAAATGTGATTTATCAGATGCCGGCACTTTGCCACCAGCTCGAGTTATTAGAGCACAGACAGACCTTTTAATATATGACAGAATAAGCGCTGGATGAGGACTCATTTAATGCATTCACAATAAATGTGTCAATCAATATGTCAGGTAAGCATAAGCCCCGCCCACTCTAACGCTCTCTATACTGGAAAACAATTAGCAGTGTGCTATTTAAATCTATATGGCAATGATTCACATGAGACAGAAGCAGAGAAACAGTATGAATAGAAAAATGGCGTCTTAATTAAAACATAAAGATGAGCAGAAGCTCCAGAGAGCTGCGACACAAAAGGGTGAAAGAGCCTGCGGTGGAATTCAAAACGCGTGATGGCTAATCTCTGTCTTTTACTCTTTCTCTGTTTCTTTTTCTTTCTCTTATTCATACGCACACTTAGTCTCTATCTCCACACACACACACACACACACACACACTTGTGTTTAATGCTTATTTGGACTGTTTTAATGTTCAACTGACATCCTAAGTTAGCATCAACACACTCTCGCTTCTGTCAAATTGATAGCTAATTCATTGAATTTGTACAATCTCATTAGCACATTTTCATACAATCCACTTATGCCCCAGTGACGGTTAGGTTTAGGTGTGGGGTTAGGGGTGGAACTTCATGCTTACATTTCTGAATGAATCATATACAAATTCATAACAAAAAAAAAAAAAAACACTTCATAAAATTGTTACATTTTCTCATAAGATCAGGTTGGTTAGCGTACATGCATTTGCAGTGTGTGAGAATTTGTTGCAACACATTGTGTATTGAGATTTCAAACACTTAAATGAAATAGAACCATAACTGCTTAAGTTTTTTCTATGTTACATATTTTTAAAGCACATTAAATGCTGATTAAAACACTAGATTTCAACTTTACAGTGTGCTGTACACATACATAAACGTGAATTCAGTGGGGACGTTAATGTACTGCAGGACAGTATTGGACATATTTCAGGCTTCTCCCTGTAAACAGCATCACTAGTCAATATTATAGTTCCAGCCTCCACTACAGCCTCTTTTCAATTATTCTTGATCATAAAACAGGGGTTTATATGCTGAGAACAGTCTGATCTGGGATGCCCTCATGAATTCCAGCTCTAAAAATATCAAATATGCACGCTATTGCTGTTTCTCAAATAATATCATGATTGCATGCTCCCTGTGAGAGTGTTTTACTGTATAAGGTTCAGAGTGAGTTCAGACTGGAGCTGCATTATCTGTGCAGAAATGAGAGATGAGGGGATTGTTTTCCTTTATTTTCTTCTCCCTAAAAATAAGTCAAAAAGTGAAAACAAATGAAAAGAAAAGAGGAAAGAACTACAGACATGCTGTTTTGTCCCGCACATTGGGCTTTTTAATCAAAGCAACGGCACCTAGAACACAATGCAGAGCTGCGATTCAGCAGCACATGAGGAAGACTATTCAAGAGATGAATGCAGAACAATACTGGAGAGCGCAGAACATCTCCAACATGCTCATAAATAATCCACCATAACAAAAGACACTAAAATCCAAGGTTCTCAGCAACATAAGAGCTGCGAACAAAAGCTGGTGGAAATTGAGCACATGCAATGAATAATTCCAACATTTCCTTTACAATTCATGATGATGATGCATTTGTGGGCTTTAAGACCCTTACGGAACATTATTTCATTGCCAAAAGAAAAAAAAAAGCTGCTTGTTTGATCTGTGTCTAATAGTCTGCAAAGATACAAAAAACAGGTTATTTAACACAAGAAAGATGTGTGAAACACTCTAGAGTGAGAGAAAAACAAAGTGAGTGAGAAAGAAAGAGGGATGAAGTAAAGAAATATTTACTTTCACAATCCCAATGGACATGATGTGTGAAGCTCTTTTTATAAGAGCTGTGCATCAAATTCTCCAGATGACCAATTACATCTGCCGTTGTTCTGCTCTTTAACTCAACAACTGACCATCTTCACACTCTCTGTTGCTCTCTGACTCCTGGAGATTCTCTCTTTCTGCCTTTTTTCCCTTTTTTCAGAGGCCACCAGTAAACAGCACTGACAGGACATTCAGAGTCAAGAAAGAGGAGCTTTTAATGGGTTTGATTAGCATAATCATTAGGATTCTAAATTATTTATAATTATTTTAGTAATTGATTAATTTGCAGGGGATTTTTTTTTTTTTAATTCCGAACTGGAATAAAATATGTTTTGAAATAAAAAACCAAAAACAAACAAAAAAAAAACATTCTATTCCAGTTTTGGCTGCCAAAGCTGTGACGATATGGACAATTTCCAATTACATGTTAATCCCTTTATAGTTACTAACCTAATAAAATTACCATTACTTGCCTTTCATGCAGAAAACCTGAACTCAACACAACAAATATTTTTTTATTTTTGTAAAATGTCTAAAATCTAAAATATCTTTATCATCTTCATCTCTCTGTTGCGCTCCGCGTGTGTTTAATGCGCATGCGCGTGCTGCAGTTCGTTTAGTCAGTGAAGTCTGTCAAGTTTGGCAGAGATTCGCTTCCTTTCAGTAGTCTTTATACAATTTGGAAACACTCATGTGAATTTCTAATATTCATAAACAAGGATGTAAACGTCAAATGTAAGTTAAAAAACATGTCCCGCACATTAAAACAAACACATGAGCCTTAACACCTGATAGCAAAAGCTGCTACGCGGACGAGTTTGTAATATACGTTAAATAGTTACGAGTTTCTTAATATAACGCATGTTTTGGGCAGTTTGGACCGTCCATTTTCCCCACAAAAGGTCACTTTTTGGAGTCCTACGCTATTCTTCAGGTGCGTTTAGTTGTTTTATTGATTACTGTTAAATAAGCGGAGCTGTTTTCAGCGCACAGCTCGCAGACCCGATTGATCCATAATTTAGTTTTCTATCATTTTAATGGCCGTTTATTATCATCGTTTTTGTTGATTAGTTCTTACAATATCTGAATTACTGCTGGAACAGTTGCGGACATTTTTTTATTTTCTTTATTAAACCTCTTGAAATAACAAACCAGACATCACTGCTAATCACATACATAACTAAACACAAATGATAATAATAATAATAATTATTATTATTATTTCATTTGATTTAAGGATTAAAATCAAACTTTCAAATATTTTAAAGCCACAAACTTTAACAAATCTACATTTGTGTAAATAAAACTGATCTATAATCAAAATATTATTGTGCAAAAAGGAATAAGGCCTATTTGAGGGCTGATTCAAGTTGCGCATCTCAAATGGAGATGCAGAAAAGATGTCAAAAAAGTGTCCCTGACTGATCTATTGATATGATTGGTTAAATTAGTCCATTATGATTTATTATTTACACATTTGATCTTGTTTCCCTGTGTATATACTGTATAAACCAGCAAGATGTAGTTTTACTCTGACCGTAAAACATTGTTATACTATAGAGAAGCTCACATGCTTACTCCAATAAATGTGTTTTACCTGATGGCAGATCTCGTGCACCACCACCATGGTGAGCTCCATCTGATAGGAGAAGGAAGAGACGTCAGGATCCAACAAGATCTTCTGCTCCACAAACACACTCAGGCCCCAGTTCTCCATGGCTGCATACGGATGCTTCGGCACTGCCAGGAGATCTGCACACAGTGAGGAAGATCCAAGCTCAATGACGGGAAACCAGGATTGTGATACAATGCAACAAGAAGTAAGTGTAAACAAATACAACAAACAGTGGCTGGATCAAACCAAACATTTTCCAAGACACCACTGCATATGAATCATCTTGCTCATCTATAAATGATGTTTTAAAACAGACAAATGTTCTTCTGTACTACATAACTGTGCATCATAGAACAAAAGATCTAATCCCAGATATCAATGTGGATTAGCCCTGAATCAAACGTATTTATCATCTAATTGCTATAATCAAAGATCATTGCATTTTAACCCAAAAAACAGACACAGCAAAGCAACAAGACACGCAGCTCCATAATCATATTTCCCTCCAAACATATTTTAAATAGCTCCTTTACTCAAGTCTGTGTATCAGTGGCACAGCAGACAGCGAATCAGCTGTTTTAAACGCCTCCACCTCCATGAGCCCATCTCAGGAACCATTCATATGCCAATGAGAACAGAAGCAGTTAAACCTCTGGTGCTGTTAAATCCACATCTTATAATCAGCCACAGAAGAAGAGGAACTGTTGGAAACTGTAACATGATTATCCGCCGAGCTGGTGTGTGTGTGTGTGTGTGTCTTATTTGCATGTTTCATGAATTGGGCTGAAAGCAGCTGCAGAGTTTTGGAAGAAAGCTACTATCGTCATGGCGCCTGATAAACCTACAGGGCTCTGTGAGAAAAAAAAGCTTCTTTAAAAGTGAACAGCAGTCAGATGCTACACCTGCCCACACTGCCAAAAGCACCAAAAGTTGGTTAAATGAACATGGTGTTGGTGTGCTTGACTGGCCAGCAAACTCACCAGACCTGAACCCCATAGAGAATCTATGGGGTATTATCAAGAGGAAAATGAGAAACAAGAGACCAAAAAATGCAGATGAGCTGAAGGCCACTGTCAAAGAAACCTGGGCTTCAATACCACCTCAGCAGTGCCACAAACTGATCACCTCCATGCCACGCCGAATTGAGGCAGTAATTAAAGCAAAAGGAGCCCCTGCCAAGTATTGAGTACATGTACAGTAAATTAACATACTTTCCAGAAGGCCAACAATTCACTAAAAATGTTTTTTTTTATTGGTCTTATGAAGTATTCTAATTTGTTGAGATAGTGAATTGGTGGGTTTTTGTTAAATGTGAGCCAAAATCATCACAATTAAAAGAACCAAAGACTTAAACTACTTCAGTCTGTGTGCATTGAATTTATTTAATACACGAGTTTCACAATTTGAGTTGAATTACTGAAATAAATTAACTTTTCCACGACATTCTAATTTATTGAGATGCACCTGTACGTTCAGTCAACTTTTTAGGCACTAATCAGAGATATACATTACAAAATTATACTTACGTATACTTGACTTATACTAGCAAGTATACAGAAAAGTATAAGTATATTTGGCTTATACTTGCACTTAATCTTTTGTTCAAAATATTCAATTAAGTGCCCTGAGTATACTTGGCTCTTTTGATAGAGTAGCCTATTTAATAATTTTTTCTTCTTTGAGGTAGTACTCCAGCATTGTCTTGTGTGTTTGTTTGTTTAGTTAATAAACCCTGCTTGCACTTGGATCCGCTCACTTTCATTCGATCCTTCATTACAATGCATTACTAAATATTATATATTAAGTCAGGAGGCCTTTCAGTGGTGTTTCGATACGAACATGCAGTTTGATATGCAGCTAAGCATATTAAACAGCACATTTGTTCTGATTGGCTGTGACTGTATTGTGAACAGATGCTGTAAATTACTATCGCACTTTGTTAGGACACAGAATTGTGCTTTATTTGTCAGTGGTGCTGGTGTGAATCTGGTCCGCATATAGAACAGGTTCAGAGAGTTTCATCAGCAGCTGTTCAAAAGGACCTTCATGTTGAGATGTTCTGTTTCTAGTGTTTTCTACCAGGCTAAATCATGAAGGCCTAATGTGAAATGTTTCCAAACCTTAAAGTCTCTCACCTGGATATTAATTATCAAAATTGCTAGATTTTTCTTCAGATGTCTCTGCATGTGGAGACTCGGTTTGCAGTTTGTTAATTGGTGTAGATTTGTTGACTAATTAGGCCACAAATTTCACCTCAGTATGAAGCTGTTTGACTGAATCACGCTGTGGAATAAATTGCATCAGACCTATAATTATTGTTTTTATTTCAAACAAACGAAATATGTGCTCTTGTGGCTTCTCCATGTATTAATGACATGCTATGACTTCTGGAAGTCATAATGAGGTTTAGGTGTGTTGATCTAGGTTTGTGCTAAATACATTCACCTTGACTCCATATTCCTCACATTTTCTTGGCTTTTTTTTTAAATTAATCTTGCAGTCTCTGTCTTCTTTATTACTTTCTGCACCCAGTTCAAACAGCACTTCCAATGTTTTATCTCCCAATGCATCATAGAGCAGTCAATACAGGGCCACGACTCCTGCTTGACAGTTTCTTTGTCTTCAGAGACACTCAAAACTACACAGAAACCAACAAAAATCACAGATTATTTTTTTTAAATGGTCTGAAATAATGAACAGCAGAATGTCGTAACACTGACCTTTATTAAGCTCAGGAGCACATGAGGCTGAAAATGAGGAGAGAGGGATGGATTTGAGTCTCTGTAAGTGTGTTCATGGTAAAGTGGAGAGACTTGTTCTCGGTCCACAGCACCCCTGACGCCCTGCGGTCTGCTCTCACATCTGAGCGCTTAACACAGGCAGCGGGGCAGAAGAGAGCGGCCCTTCATGGAGCTGCAGTGGTGCCTGAGGAGAAAAGCCTCCAGAGATGGTCAAACAGATGCTCTCAGCTCGTCTCATTATCACACAGTTCGCTCCACCTCTCTGTGAAGCTCTGTGCTCGTCTCACACATTAAATATTATGACTCAGAGTTGCTCGTTCACAGCTCAAGAATTTTTATGAAGTACTTAGCTATGTTTTAATTAGACTAGTCTCAGAAAATCCATTAGGAGACATAAAAGTAGACACAAAAGAGACGATGTTGATGTGAAATAGTGAAATTATCAGCAGAGACTGCTGGGAACACAGCATATTTACCAAAGCACCGAGGGACGGTTGAACAGAAAGAAAAAGAGTTCCTAAAATTCCCTTAGTTCTAGTAAACTATTAATCTGCATCGTCAGGCGCTTTCACAGCAGCGTGTTCAAACCAAAATACACAATGTGCTAGAGGAAACATATTGTAGGGATAATTAATAGTAGCTTTTCTTTTGGTACATCCTGAAAATGTCCATGAAAAACAATGTGCAGCTTTGTCAAAACCTGAAATGGAACAAAAACCATGTTAGTTTAAAAACACGAGTTAAAGCAACATATTGTTTGTTTGGCTGCTTCATTTCTCTTCCTCATGGCACAGCAACTTCCTTTCTTCTTTTATTCCTGCCAAACTTGGTCTTGAGCCTAATTGAGCCTAAAACATTTATAAACCCCAAAAACCTGGGATTTCAACACCCTAAATGTTGACATTTGGCCAAATCAACACATGCACCTCATTAGCACTCGGTGCGTAATTAGTGAATACCCCCACAGTTTCCATCCTAACCTCACTGTTGACCTTTGGCTAAATGTCAGAGCTGATATTAGAGGGAACAACATACAACAAATACAGCAGCATATAATATGGCTTATTTATTCTGGAAAAACCAGGTCAGATTTGCTTCTAGGAATTATTGCTGATTTTACTTCACATTTAATCCTGCTGAAAGTCAAGTGACATGTTGACAACTAACTGTTCCTTCCTTTTCTGAGACTGTTTGATCGTGAACTTAAACTGTCACTTTCTCACTTTTTCATGTCAAAGATAAAAAAAGAGTGAAAAATATTTTCCTATTCCTTTCCTTTAACTATTTCCTACTCTCTGTTTGTAAACAAGGACATTTGGGGAAATTCCCAGTAGGCCGGTGTGTTTTGGTTGTACATGAGCTGTTGATTTTTGCTTTTTCTTTAAATTCAGTCACTCTCTCAACTGAACCTGCCAGTGTTGATCTGTTTTCTTCTATAGATCTACATTGCAATCTCAGGGGAAGTTGTGACGTGACCTCTGCCACTCTGCCAAGTGGCGGTTCTACATTGAATTACACCCTGGGCGAGAAATATATACAATCAGATATATAAAAAATGTAACAAGAGCAGAGAGCAACAATGAAAAAAGAAGTGTAATAATTGGAGTAATAATTGGCAACATTTTAATAATAATATCTAATATTTCATAGGAATATTGATGTATAATTTATTTCCATATTCTCTTGTTGTGTCTCCCAAAATGCCTGATAAACATGATTTAAGTCCTGATGTCCTCTACAGTGGACATGTATGAAATCAATGCCCTGTTCTGTAACAGAAAGTCATTTTTTGATTTGAAACCCCATAACGTTTTGACATAACGTCTGAGATGTTGGTTTATGAAATACAATTTGAAAAGTAGTCCGATTTAAATTATAATCACACAGATTTGAAAATTCCGTTGGCTAATTACAGGGCCTAACGTTAACCCAACTGATGGAAATAAATAATAACTGAACTTGTAACAGTTTTGTTGCAAAGCACAATATTATGGTGAAATTAGTCTCGTGTTTGTTGAGTTAAAACCGAATTATTGTTGTATAAGCATAGCAAGCATCATAGCAAAAAGGCTAACATTTTTTTGCACCCACAGATTCCAGATTTTCAAATAGTTGTATCTCGACCAAATATTGTCATAACAAACCATACATCAATGGAAAGCTTATTTATTCAGCTTTCAGATGATGTATAAATCGAAAAATTTACCCTTATGACTGGTTTTGTGGTCCAGGGTCACAAATTTCAACAATCAGATGAGGACAACTTGACCCAGAACCACAGTGAGCATACTCTTGTGTTGTCCAATTATCTGTCTGTCCAAATACAGTAAAGCATAACAGTGAGTTCACATAATAGTTGTAAGTCAAGGCATTTAAAAATTAACATTTTTACTCAG